CCATCTCTACTAAAAATACAAAAATTAGCCGGGCATGGTTGCAGGCATCTATAGTCCCAGCTACTTGGGAGGCTGAGGCAGAAGAATGTCTTGAACCTAGGAGGTGGAAGTTGCAGTGAGCTGAGGTGGTGCCACTGCAGTCCAGCCTGGGCAACACAGCAAGACTCCATCTAAAAAAAAAAAAAAAAAAAAAGTAATTGTGTAAGCCTGACACAGTGGCTGAGACCTGTAATCCCAGCACTTTGGGAGGCCCAGGCAGGCAGATATCTTTGAGTTCAGGAGTTCAAGACCAGCATGGGCAACATGGCAAGCCCCATCTCTACTAAAAATACAAACCTAGCCTGGTTTGGTGGTGGTGTGTGTCTGCAGTCCCAGCTACTTGAGAGGCTAAGGTGGGAAAATCTCTTGAGTCTGGGAGGTGAAGGTTGCAGTGAGCTGTGGTTGTGCCACTGCATTCCAGCCTGGGTGACAGAGCTAGACACTGTCTCAAAAACAAAAACAAAAAGTAATTGTGGAAGTGAAATGTGATAAGAATATACCTTCCGATAAGTCTATTTGGAAGGGCAGGAGAGAAATACAGATGAAGGAAGATTTTTGGTTTTGGTCTTTAGAGCTGGAAGGGATTTGCCCATGGAGAGGGGGAGGTTAGAGAATCGGAAAGGGCGATAGTTACATTAGCAAGAGCCCAGAGGAACCAGAGGGCAGGAGATCGGGGTAGAATGGTGGGACTAACCCTGCGTAGGGAAAGAATGTATCTTCCCACCCAGTGGCCTATGAACCCCAGGGCCTTGTCTTCTGTCTTGACCTCTCTCACAAGAAACCAAACTGTTAGCCTCTTTCCTAATATTTCTGATGAGCCAACCACAGGATCCTGGTAGGCAGGGTATTGACTTAGGTAGAGTTCTGAATTTGGAGTTGGAAGACAGCTTTGATTTCTTGTTTTTTTTGCTTGACTTCCTGACTGTGTTATCCTTTCTGAGCAGCAATGTCCTCATCTTTAAAATGAAAAAAATGCACTCCATATAATAAAGTAGGACAATATATGAAAACACTTTAAAAAGGGACTCGTGATTAGGTAGCTTTTCTGAGGTGTTTTTTGTTTGTGTGTCCCTCTGCTCTTAGGATCTGGCAATATTCCAGTCACCAGGAGACCTGGCAGTTGCCAAGAATGTTCTCTGCAACTGCTGGCTTCTAATGAGGCAACTCACACAGGATTTGCTGTCTTGAATTTTAAAATAACAGAAACAGAAACAAGTGCATCCACAGAGAGATGGACTATCACCAGAGGCTTGGTATTGTGATTAACAGTAGAATGTAAGCCAACGGAAGCCAGCTGGCAATCACTGAAACTTGACCATTTGGTTCGGTAGCTTACAATGAGTTTGTTATTGAGAATTGTTTATAATAATCAAATTTTCCACTAGGTGACAGCAAAGCCCATATGATCTAAATCATTGTTCCTCTTGAACAGTGTTTGAGAATCTTCCAAAAGCAGCGGATCCTGCCGTTCTGCAGAGTAATTATTGCTAAAATTATGACATATGGCCTTGAGATATTGTCATTACTCTTCTGAGATAAATAACTCTAGTTTTTAAAAAAGCAATTTTAGTTTTTGACATTCTAAGTCACTTGAATTTATAGAAACAACTACAACAATAATTTAAAAAGCTGACATGTGTTAAGCATTTGCTGTGTGCCACGCACTCTTATAAATGTGCATGGCTCTTGTTACTACCCAACTTCTCAGAGGTTTCACAGGGATCACAAGTCCCCTGTTGTAATAAAGAACTAAATCTTTCCTGGGCCACTTCTGTAACCATAACACTAACTACATAAATACACGCTTGTGGCTGAACTACCCTGCCCAGGAGAGGAGGAGTTTGGTTATGAATATTAATGGTTTAGTCAAGAGCCCTTTACAGGGTTTTATGAACAATTTTCAGTTATAGTTGGTATTTCTCAGAGCATTTATCTTTTTTAAAAATAACTTTTCCCCTCTTAGACCTATGCTAACCCTTCATTGGGTTCCCTGTTGGTGGCTCATTCTTCTTGAGACTGTGTTGAGTTTGGGGTAACCTATTGAAGTCTTTTTTTTTTTTAGGGGCTAAAGCTGAGACCTCAGGCAGAGTGAGCTTGACTCATCATGATATGAAGCCTTTAACCGTCAGAAGGAAGTGGGAATTATGGACCATGGCTGGTATTTGACTCTGGCCCCTGGCTCCTGAATGCTTGCCTTGGTTCTAAGCAGAGAAAGGACTGAGAAGTAAAATGGCAGGGCCGTTTCTGGAACACACTAATCCACAGGCAGCCCTGCTTAGTTTGTTTTCTTCAATCAGAATATAACATAAAAACCAGGGAGCTACATAGCTGGCTCCTATACAGCTACCCATACTGCTTTTCTTTCCTTTTTAATTATTACTATGTCTGAAAGAATGCTATAAATGCATGAGATGACATTTCCAAAGGTGCAACAGAGCATACAGTTAAAAAGTAAGTTTTACTACCCACACCTGTTCCCCATAGGCAACCACTGGTTCTCACAGTTACCAGTTTCCGATAACGTTCAGCCTCAGCAGCCTGGGGATTCCGTGCTTGGCAGGACAGCAGTAGGGATGCTGGATGCTGATGGGGGGAGGAGTTAGGAGTAGCTCAGATTGCGGAGTGAGTTAAGCACATGTGACACCTCCTGATGAGGCTCAGGGACTAGGGGCACATGGCGTGTGGGAAAATGAGCCAGGAAACTTTGGGAATTCATAACAAGATGGCCTTATTGGCACCCACAGGCTGGTGTGGCCTGGGGAAGTTGTGTACTATTATTATAGAAATATGTCCTCAGATGAAAGTTAAAAAGTATAGATAAGTATATCTCATTATTTAAGTATATATATTAAATATATATGTGTGTATATATACACATATATCTATGTTACAGTTTTTCCTGCAATATGGAGCCCAAGGCCCAGTCTCCAAGTCTCATAGCAACCCAAGCATCAGCAAACAATGCCTCCAGAAGATAGAAACTGACACTCCTAAGGTCACCAGCAATCTTATCCCACAATGTCAGCTGAGCCATGAGGGAGCAACCACTGCAGAGTGGCAGCTAGCCTAGGCAAGCCACGACCCAGTTCCTGACATTGGCCCCAGGTGCATTCACAAGTGTGAGCACATGTGCTGGTTGACCCAGGACTGCCTCAGTTTATACCTGGGATAATTGTTAAAAGGGTCCTTTTCCAATCTCAAGAACTGTCCCAAGTTTGTCAATGAAGTATATAATCTCTCTGAATACAGTTCCCCTGTGCATCATCTCCCACCGTGCCACTCCTTCAGGGTGCTGGACCAATTATGGATGTGTGAGTTAGGGGGGGTCAGGTGTCTACCATCTTTCAGACCCAAAGCTGCAACCATTTTTTTCCCCTAGGGCCGCTTCTGGGTCTAGCAGTCTCCTGTTTCTGGGACACAAAAGGGCCAATTCTACCTCCAGTTCAGGCAACAGAACTCCCCAGCCACCCTTCAGAGGACTGGATATCCTAAATGCTTATGCCTCTTTTTCCCAATGAGCCCGATGCTCAGTAGCTCAAATGTAATTTACCACTGAGATATGTAATAAATATCTCAGATATTTATTTTGGCCCCTCTCTAATCCCTAGCATGTCATTTTCATGAGAAAAAAAGGAAAATAAAATTCTCCTATAATACTCAACTAGAAATTTCCAGAGGTTAATAATTTTGGAAGCACATTCTTCTGGATATGTATGTAAAGTCTTTTATTGGTTCTAGCTGTTTTTCATCGGATTTTTTTTAGTTTTTCTTGGTAGGCAATCATGATTTGCAAGTAATAATTATACTGACACCTAATATTTATTTATTTAACATTTTGAAAATTTTTATTTTAGAGCCTAAAACTTCTAGGATGTAATTGAATAACGATGATAGCAAGCATGTCTTCTTGCCGACTTTAATAGAATGCTTCTAGTATTTCACCCTTAAAATGATGTAATTTAAGGTTGGACTTTGTGTGAAGGGAGTATCCTCCTAAGCTTACCAAAATAATTACCTTGGTTGTAACTTACAGAATAAATTGTCAGTATCTTGACAATTTCATCTTGACAAAGATCAAGATATTTGCTTTTGTCCAGGTAAATGGCAATGGAACTATACCTTCGCTTTACTCAGATATCCAACTGTTGCAGCTCTTTCTCTTTTTACCTACAATAAAATATTAAATCCATAAATCATTAGATGCCTGGGTTTAAGTCTAGTTGTGGGAGTTTGCTAACTATTCTGAATTTCACTTTCTTTATCTGAAAATTAGAATTAAAAATACTGACTTCACAGAGTTGCTGCATTAACTTCTTGCCTAGAATGTAGCAAGCATTCAATAAATTTATTATTATAGCTGTTATGTAATATATATTTCACTCTCTGATCCTATTGGAGATATATATATTAAATATAATATATATTAAATATATCACATATAATAATAAGAGAGTAAAAATCTCCTTAGAAAAGACTTTTCAGTTAATGACAGTGGTGATTCTAGGATTATCTTAAGTTCACTGTGGTCTTTTCTTTAGAGGTGGTAGTATGCCCAACTGCTCCAGTTTATTCTGGATAGGGGAGCGTCCCAGGATGAAGGACTTTTGGTGCTAAAACCGAGAAGTCCTGGGTAAATTGGGACAAGTTGGTCACCTAGATCATGGTAATATTTGACTCCTTTCCTGTTTTCATCTGATCAGGCAGGCTCCTCCAGAAGACAAAAATAGCATTCAAAGAAAATTATTAAAGGCCTGATGATGAACAGACATCACCATCATCATTTTAGTGATAATAATAATGCTACTAATAATACTGTAATAGTAAGCCACATTTAGAAGGAAACTAAATATCTCTTTCTAAGGAAATTTCTAGCAAACCAAGACAAACACTACTGGGATGATTTTCACAGAAGATGTACTCTTTGGATGGTGAGAGAGCACTAAGAAAGTAGCTATTCCAATGGGGCAGGAGGTAGAAAAGAGAAACTGGGGTACTTGGCATAGTTCAGATACTACAAATCTGGTGCTTCTGATCTACAGAAGGAAGTGTGGATATAGACCCACATTGAGCGTGAGAGTAACAGGAAGAGGTGCAAGAGTGAGGTGAATGATTCCCCTCTAGAAAGTTTGGGGCAAGCCTGGAGGGGATACTGGTTTTGTGGGCTGTTGCCAGGACAGTTGCTACCCACCTGTGCTCTGGCCTGAACCTGGCTGAGTCATCACCCAGAATGCTGTGATGGTAGGAGTAATTATAGCCCAGGAGGATATGGAAGCATCAAGTAATTACAGTCAAGGAGGACACGCCCAGGGCTATGGTGCTGCTGTGCACAGAGCACGAGGCAAGGTTTGGGCAGGTGTGGGAAAAAGGTATAGATGCTTCAAAGTATTATTAAAAATGTGTGGATCCCCATGAAGCTCTACTATACTCAAGTTTACCAGGATATTTGGGTAGGAATGGGGCTGATGAACCTCACCGTTTATAAAATCCAGACTGCTAACAAAAGAAGTAAAGCTTTGAAAGCTCCGGCGCCTGCTCATGGTCATCACTAATCAGCTTTACCTGGCATACACATGAAATGAAACATCAGTCAGCCTGTAAATTTAAGCAAGCTGTGTTGAACTGTGCACTTGTCTAAGTATCGCTTACTTCGTGGCATGAATAAATGGATCTGTGAAATGCACTGAAAAAAAAAAAAGATCAAGATCAGGAGTACAGTGGGAAACAGAGGTCATTGCTGGGTAAACTCAAAAGATTTAGTACACAGGCCAGAGACAGGGCTGAGACACTGGGAGTTTATTCTTACTAGATGCTGGACAGTTATTGTGGCTTCAATGAGATAATGCACATAGATGCAGAGTTCTTACATGGCACATAGTTAAAGCTTACTATCACCTATTTTTAGTTTTTGCACCTCTGAAAGCTAATCAACTAATTTCCCCTAGTATAGAAGCAGATGAACAAAAGTCAAAAATTGAATTTCTTTACCGGGAATAAAAGTTGTACAAGTTGTGTTTGTTCTACCAACAATTTCCTTTGATCCAAATGGCCAGTATAGAAAGATCAATGTTCTTCTATAGTGGCTAGAGCACAAACAATGATGTCAAGGGCACATATACCAGGAAGAGACCACTAACGACCTCTCACAGGCCTCCCAAGGTAGCATCATGACCTGAAATTACCCATGCAGGCCAGGAACTGTAATTTTATTCAGTCATAGAAAGAAACACTTATCTCAGGTGTTAGTTCTGCACAATAATCAAGCTTACAAGAGTGAATACAAACCAGTGTATCTTTTATTTGTAGTTTTAAATTTTTATTACTTTTATTTTTCAATAATTTAATACAATCAATCAATAAAAGAGGGCCATGTATGGGTCAGTGGTGACAGTGTGTTACTAAACACAGATATTGGATAGGCAATTAGCAGTGTCTGCTCCAACCATGGCATCAGTTTATTAATTTTCAATAATAAATTACTATAAGATTTCTGGAGTCCTTATGATCAGTGCCAAGTGCCATGAAAAGTCCAATCAAAATCAGAAACCATTTAATTTATTCCTTCAGAAGAAATTACCGCATAGGTCTATTTGACAAACACAATCTTCCTTAAGATATTAGCTTAACCATAATCAAGAAGAAGGTTGTCCTGAATGCAGAATACGAGCTAAGAAAGTTGACTGTTTAATGGCTTCAGGGAAGAAAGTTTCTGGCCCACAGAACTGGAAATACCAGCCAGGTCACAGCCTCTCTAGGACAATGCTAAGATGGAAATTACTAACATTTGCTTCGGTAACTTTTCCTGCTTTTTCTATCCCCAAGTCACAAAATCACTTTTTAATGTATGCATTCTTTGCTTAGTCAAGTTAATATATCTAACTCGGTTATAGAAAACTTTTGCAAGCCCACAGGCCAGTTTTTCCTCTCTAAAGAGTTTTTGTGAATCTCTGCTTCGATTTGTAGCCTGTTGATTTCACTTTTTCTCCTTGTGCAAGCATCTCAAGTTATTGTGGCCACTTTACTGACACACCTATATACAGAGAGCAACTATCCAATCTCCCTGCTTTTTGACATTCGTCTTATCTTGTTTATAATATATAGGTCATTCCATGAAGTTTCTCAGGATCCCTTCTATTCGGTATGTTGTTGACTGAAATATTTGGTCATCACCTTGGTCTCTGTGCCATTAATTGCCTCCTTTACTTCTTATATGTTAATTTATTATTCCACTGGATCCAGCTTCAGTCTACAAATGTAGTTAAGTCTCCACTGCCCCCAAAACCCTACCCTTAAGTCTGCAACTCTCAGGCTACTTTCCTTTCATGGTCGAGGGACTGGAAACAGCATTGTCATGCATCATTGCCCTCTTCCACGTATTAACACCTTGCAAACTGGCTCCTACAAGTTCCATACTCCAGTGGAACTTGCTTCTTGGAGTAGTACTAACTTTCAGTGATCTCTTCTCCCTGGGGTCTAGAAAAAAAAGGGGTGAATGCCTGGCTTTGCTGACATTGCTCCCTGGCCATAGTTAAAAGAGAGACACACACTCAAGCTAGGTTACTTCTCTCTCCTGGGATTTGGAGCATGAACTGGAGAGGTGCAGAATTTTCTGGAGCAGAGCTGTATTAGTGGCTGCACCACCCTGGGAGAGGGGTCATAGATTCCTAGGAGGCCCCCAGAGCTGCCGTGGTTCCTATCCTTCCCGAACCTTGGTTGTTCATCTCCTCCGCTAACTCTCTGTGAGTTCTCCCAGAATCCTCCTTTAGGTACTGGCCTTAAATTCCCTTTTTTCTTTCTGTCTAAGTTAGTGACAGTCAGCTTCTACCCTTTACAACCTAATTAACTGGTTAATTCTTAACCAGTTAATTCTCTTACCCTTTTTAACAATTCAGAAGCATTGAACACTGAAGAATCCCCTTCCCTGCTGAAATTGTTTTTCTGTGTCTTTGCTGCCTTTGCATTCTTGTGGGTCCTTGTCCTGCAGCATTTTCTCAGGCCCCACTGTCACTCCTCTTCTTTCCCTTACCCTTGAATGAAAGGCTTCCTAAAATGTTTTTAAAATATTTTTGTTTTGCTTTGAGACAGTCTCACTCTGTCACCCAGGCTGGAGTGCAGTGGCGTGATCTTGGCTCACCGTAGTCTCCACCTCCTGGTTTCAAGTGGTTCTCCTGTCTCAGCCTTCTGAGTAGCTGGGATTACAGGCGCATGCCACCACGCCCAGCTAATTTTTATATTTTTTAGTAGAGACAGGGTTTCACCGTGTTGGCCAGGCTGGCATTGAACTCCTGATCTCAGGTGATCCACCCGCCTCGGCCTCCCAAAGTGCTAAAATCACAGGCATGAGCCATCGCCCAGCCCTTCCTAAAATATTATTTATGAGAATCCTTTTTACATTCTCACTTATTCAAATCAACAAAACAAAATTTGAATGAGCCAGATACTCCACCTCATTTCAGAATATTTTGAAGAGATAGTCTAGAGAACATGACTATATATGGTAATATTCTATTGGCACAGTCAAGCAACACAAGACATCCAAGTTCTAGATAAACATTTCTGATGATCTACGTGTATATTTGTGATTCAACTCACCTAAAATCACCTACTACCATCTCAAATTTAGTATGCTTAAAACTATACTCATTATTTTTGCCCTCAAATATGATCCTTTTTCTATCTTTCCAATCTCAATCCAGAACAGTACCATCCTCCCACCATAAGCTTAAATATCAGAGTCATCTCTTATTCCCTCTTCCCATCTGGTCAATGCACAGGCCCTGTTGATTCTGACCCTGATACACATTCACCTCAGCAGAACATGCCCACAGGCACCCCCCCATCAAGTCTCCTTACATTTCACTTCCTGTTGCAGGGGTTTACTAACTCAGTGCCCAGCTATCTGGCTGTGCCCTACCCAATCATCCTCCACATGGCTGCTTAAGTCTTTTAAAACTCAGATTTAATCGTGACAGTTCCCAGAAGAGAAGCCTTTCAGTGGTTCTCCAAGGGATGTTCATAAAAATTGCCGAGGAGGTCTGAAAAAGTGAAGATTCTTGGGCTGCAAATAAGAATTCCTCAGTCAGTTTCCAGAAATAAGGCATGAGTATTTTGAGAACCTCATCCCCCCACCCCCACCCAGGGATTTTGATATAGACCTACGGTTAAGTGTCATTGCTTTAATGGAACCTCAGTGCCTACTGAACAGATCTCAAATTTCTCACTGTGATAATTAGGGCACCAACTTCTGCTTCAAGCTTTGTCTCCTTTAATTCCTTACATATTCCAAAGTCTGACAAATAGCGATGACAGCAGTTACTATTTCCTGAATGCCTCCTGACATCATGCCTTTCATTAGTCTGCTCTTGCCACTTGGAAAATCCTTTCTTCTCCATTTCTATTTCTCTCAATTACACCCTCCTTCAAGGTCAAGTTTGACTAATTTAGAGTAAAATACATTTACAGTATTTAGAGTAGTTATGGGGTCATAATAAGCCCTCTATAATAGCAGTTAATGTTGTTATGATAATGATGATGATAAATAATACCTTATACCTCCATGAAGTCCTTACCACCCACTAAATCAGAACTAGTCTTTCCTTCCTTTGTGTTTCCATTGCACTTTGTTTCTAGTCCTTTTAGGGTATCTGCTAGGTTCTGTTTTGCTTTTTGTACCCATCTTACCTGTCTTGGTGAAGTGCAACCTTGTTAGTGAACTCTATCTTGGTCAGGTACTATATCATGTTCAAAACACAGCAGTTGCTCAATACATTTTCACACTTTTAAATTGGGTTCTAAATGATCTTCGTGAACTGTCACCCCAACCAGAAACAGATGTTCAGCGGGATTCCCTGCCTGTTTGTCCAGCATGTTTTGTCTCTGAGCTGAGCAGGGGAGAAACCCAACTCGGAGCCCTTTAAATTAAACATGTACTTAAGTGGCAAAAGAATTTTTAATTAGAGCCTGGGAAAAGGAAACATTAACATTTGTTGAGTGCATACTCTGCCAGGACACTGTAGTGTGTTTACCTTGGAACAGCTGTGTAGCAGGAAGCTGCTTCTAACGTATTCTGTATTCTTTCCTCCCATTGTTTGCTTAAGGTAACATTTATGTCTGATATTTGCTTAATGTGCCTCTCAAGTCGTTTCTGAGCATTGTAAAGAGGAAACGGTTCACTGGGTAGCAATGCCAGGCACTCAACATTGAGTAACTGATGTGTTAGTGGTGCTCTTTGAAAAGTATGATGTACTGTGAAGTGTCACACTATCTGGATAATTTGCTGTTACCATCAGCCAGGTGGCTGTTTAAATGGTTTTAGATTGAGGATGAGTTTCCAATAATTTTAGGCCTTCCCCAAATCCATACTCCTAGGAGAAGTGGGGATTTTTGGCCCATGGCATGATGTCCCTGTGAACAGTAGCAGAAATGTAGATCTGTTTTATGAGATAAGGGACTAAAGTGGTTCTCTGAGCCCATGCTTCCACGTTGAATGGTAGTTAGGACTATAACACGGGTGACTATATAACTTATTGTTAAAACAGTGGAAGCTCAGTACAACAGAAT